TCTTGGTTTTGATTTCGTCTTTGTGTTTTACTCTTGCTTGCTTTAATTATTCTTTTATATTCTTCCATCAGTAAAGCTTACAAGAGACACGAATGCTCTTAATCTTACATATTCTCTACTGTACAATTAAAATGTTTATTAATAGCTCTTTGTATCAGTTTACTTTTTTGAAATTATATTTTCTTGCAATGCACAACACGGAAGTTACCGCAAATCGATAAATTTTATCGAAATTAATAAACGCTTTCTGTTTTTTTTTAACAAAACAAGAATTACCTTCACAAGGATAAATGTCCTTGTAAATCGCGAATTAGAGAATAGGGGAAATTATGTTTAATTGCTATATCTACTATAGTTACAAAGAATTAAAATGTATTTTATAATTAATCATTCGTACTTGGACAGAAAGACTTATGGTCAATAGCCCTTTGTAGCAGATCGATGTTGTTACTTTGTTTTTGAGTATGTAGTATGATTTGTTGCAATAAATGTTATTGTGATTAGTGTTTTAAAGTGATTAGTGGAGTAAGCAACACCCATTTCTCGAAACCACAATAAATCAAAGTAAAAAAAGTGTAGGAAATTAGGGCGAATCTTTTAAAGAAGAGAATCGAACCAATCGAATAATGATGATCACGATTCTTCTTTTATGATCTTCACCATCCATTATAATCTTTTGGTTCTCATCAAGTGAGAATATTGCGAGCGTCGGTCTATTTCTCTTCTCTTGTCTGTGCGTACTTGTGTTTTATTGTCGAGTTAATTTGATCTCTTTGTGTGGTTTTCGGTGATTAAGTGAGCGATTCTCGTTCATCTCTCTCTCTATGTGTGTGTGTGCTCTTGAGCTTGGAAAGTGTGTTAGCATGACAAAACGGGGATTAGAAGAGGGCTGAACTTCTGATTGCACACGAGTGCCTCCTCATGCAGAAAAACACACCCTAATCTAAATAATCGCGCGCATTATTCACGATCAAATATGTTTTTTGCAACATATTCCTTTTCTCAATTTATCGCGCCTAGACTTTCGTTTTAATCTTTAGTTTTAATTCATATTTTATATTGCAATTACATGCAGTTATTAATATTTTCATAGATCGTTTACACCTGTATAATTTTAATTCTATTTACATTTTGTCAATGTATCAGATTTGTGATTTTTCTTTTGTTATAGATATTACTTAATTTTATTAATTATCAATAGAATAGAAGAAGCTAAATAGAATAGATAGGAAAGACCTCAATTCAATTTATATATATATAAACAAAAACAATTGTAGTGATCTTATTGTTTATTATTTTATTTATCGTGCGTTGCTAATCGTGGAAACAGTTCTTTATGTATTCGTATTTAACGTGGGGAGTTAGAGAAGGAAGGAAAGAAGGAAAAAGTAAACGTAAACATCCCTTTTGAATGGTTCTCTTCGGTGTTGGCGCAAGGTTTCCGGTGATGAGTTGAGACGAGATGATGATGATGATGATGAGCTGCGTGGATTTGATGGGTTAAGCAGCAGCAGCAATAGCATGAGTAGGAGCAGTAGCAGCAGAAGCAGAAGCAGCAGTACATTGGATGCCGGAAGCTCGTCACTTGCTGTTTACATCAATAGTAGACGCGGAGAAGAGTGAGTTTAAAAATAATACTTTTCGTTTGTCTCTGGTCTCGTGCTCCTTCTCTCTCTCCTATTCTATCTACCATTCGATACATTTCTTCTCTCTGTCTCTCTCTCTCTATTTATCTGCTGAATTCGAAGATGCGCGGTTCCGGAGGAGCGTTGATTATTTGTTTTAGAGAGTTTGGGGAACGCTCGGGGTCTCGATTTACAGCTCATAAAACAGTACATTAAGATCTCTTTTAAAACGTTTTACTACACACGCATCAGGAAAATCTAATTAAAGCATCAACAGATAAATAATAAATAACAATAATAAATACAGGAGAATGGAGAATGCGTGTTGAGAAACCAACCGGACGGACAGAAAGGAAATGATGAGATGACTGTCTTGTCTACGACAAGATGAGGATTCCGGTTGAGGGGACGTAGTAGTTGTATTCTAGCATAATTTGCGAATTAAGAGCGAAAGAAACGCTAAAGGAGAATAGAGGAAAAAGAGAGAAATGTATGCTGTGCCGCTGCTTGCGGTGAATTCCGGTCGGAAAAGCGCGCGCGGCCAATTTTCATTAGAACTTTTCCGAGTCATCGGACGGACTAAATACGCGTGGCGCTGCAACCGTTGGGAAGGGGAGCCACAATCGAAGAGTGCTTCGATCATCGTAGCACGTCGTAATCGTAATGTCGTCGTAGTCGTCGCGACGCCCACCGTCGCCTAATTTTCCAAACCGATCCTTAATTTGACCCCTTTTTAATTGCATCAAATGACCCAACTTCATCTTTCTCTCTCTCTCTCTCTCTCCCTTGTCAATTCTTTTCTTCTTTTTATCCTCACCATCATTATCATAATCATCAGCAACCCTTATTAGTAAGGAGTCAGGACAAAAATAATAGAATTTGATTGCGGTGCGAAAATTCGAAGGGTCAACGATACAAGATTTGTGGAATTGTTGTCAACCAATGAAATGATTTGTGAAAATACGATTTTCCAATGCGGTAACGTAACGTCATTTTCAACATCTGACATGAAAAAACTGTAAACCCAGAAAAACACACGAAAACACTGAAAAAAAAAACGAGAAATCCGTCATTTCTGTGTTACGTATAAAACGTTAAGTATGTGTTTTTTTTTCAATTTCTACAGCTCACAGCATGCGACTAGATGACAGCACTAAGATGTATGTAGGCTTGTTG